AAATGAAATATTCAGTCTTGTCTGATGTTTGATTTATATTCTTAAGATTTTAGGAAATTTTGGGGAAAAAAAAATCTAGAACAACGAGTCGGGTTTGTATAAATCACTAGGACGGTTTATCGTGAGCCAAAAAAATACTTCAAGACAATTATGTTAAAAAAAAAATCAATTTATAACATATATTTAATCCAAATAATCTTAGCAATAACCTCAGCAGCTCAGCACAGCTCAGTAAAAAGCCCCAGCGGTCAGTCGCAGGGCCCCGACCCACTCTTTTGATTTTCATAAAGCATAAATTGTCTAATTTTTTTATTTGTTTTTTTTCTTTTCTTTTTTTTTTTTTAACTTGCTCACAGTTTTGAACCTCATCGTTGTTCCGTCCATTTTCTGTTTGAAACGCTCATTAAATGTGAAAATTCAGACAGACGTTCTCCGGGACTCTTCGACGTTTCATGCATATTTTTGTAATGTATCAAAACACTCAATCTGACAAATCGGACTGGAATCTACAGTTGAAGTCGAGAGAGAAACTTCTGATCTGTTTACAAAATGAGTCAAGTTTGAAAAGTCAGGAATCCAAGGCTGGAATTCTGATTAGGAAGTTAAGTTGGCACCGTTGGTTATTAACTGACTGTCCACCCTTTATATCAAAGGTCAAGGGAGGAGGAGGGGTTGGGTGGTGAGGGGCGAGGCAATCAGTCTCCAATCAGGGTGGGGTTACAGCCTGGTTTGTTCTTCAGTCCAACAACTATTCACACTCACATTCACACCTGGAGTCAACGTAGAGTGAACAGTTAACATAATAGAGGGTAAGCTGCAGTACCTGGAGATACCACACATACAAGGAGGGGGGGCAGCGGGGGGGAGGGGGGTTATGGTAACATTCTTCTGTTGTTCCTCATGTAGAAACACTTCCAGAAGCACCAGAAGCAGGAGCCGACTTGTTAATAGATTCTAATGGAATGAGTCAGTGGTTGTTCTGCCTCGGTGTCAACAAGTAGCTAACGGACTAATGTAACTCTTTCACAATTATATTTTTCTTCTTCCTATTGTTTGAGGTGTTTTGTCAGCGGAGGTTGAAGTGGGTGGACGAGCTACCGTCATGACAGGTGAGGAGTTACTCACTCCTGAGGTCAGCAACTGTACAATGAACCTGCGTTTGGCGCGTTAGCTAAAGTTAGCAAATGAGAAATGAGCAAAAAAAAAAAAAAGCTAACCAAAGTTTTCTATTCAAACCAGGCATATGATTCAATGAGGGAATTGAACCAGCGCTCCTCTTGCTTTAACACAACAGTACAAACTACTCTCGGACCAGAATGACTGTTATTTGGTTTTAATTAGAGGTGAAATGTTGACTATTCAGAGTTTATTACAGCGTGTTGTGGTGTGGGATCAGGAGGTTGTCAACCTGCTCCTGCAGTAATGGCTGCTGTGAATTACATGTGATTACAGAGAGGATGAGAAGCAGTGAAGGTGCGCTCAGCACTCTAATCATTTTCCCCCGGTGACTAAAAGATGTCATTTTTTTGTTGAAGGAGTCGAGAACCTGCTGCGGAGCTCTTTATTTGATAAATACTGCCTTCAGCTGAGCAGCAGCCGCTGACCCCCCCCCCCCCCCCTGCCTCCCCCCCCGTCCCTCCATTGTCCCGCTCTCATAGAAATCCACTTACTTTCCATTTAAGCCTGTTTGGGGGTCAGTCAAGCAAAAGCAAGAACCTCGGCCCCCGCTTGCTGCCTTTGAACTTTACTGCGCCCCTAAAGCCACCCTCACCTCTGACCCCTATTACAGGTAATAAAGTTTACGGCCAGTCCAAACCCAGCCATGCACCAGGGGGACCTCTCATTCGCTCACTCAGTCACACAGCCGCAAATAGGCTGAAGGTGGGGAGTTTAAAGGAGTGTCGAGGGGGGAGACGGGAGGAGGGGGGGGGCAAAAACAGGTCTGGAGCCGAAAAGCCAAACAACGGTCAGCTCCAGAAAAAGAAGTTTATGTTTGGGTTCAGGTCGAGGGAGGGTGAGACAGGGAGTGGGGAGGGAGGGGTGAGTAGGAACAGGACGGCTCTACAACACAGAGAGTTTTGTCTGTGACATTCAACTATTTTTTATTTATTTTTAATGAAATAATCCAGACATTTTTTAATTCCTGAAGGGCTGATAATTAGTATCACTGTTGAAGGTGGGGAAGCCCCTGGAGGAGTTGGGACATTCCACTCAAAGGGAGGAGGACGAGGAGGGGCGGGGGGTCAGTCCTGTATTTACTAACTGCAAACATCGTAACCTGCACAAGGTCAACTCCAGACTCCAGCAGTGAGAGACATGGGAGCTCTAGTGGTGGTGACTAAAAATACCACTTATTAATATTCAGTTCGATCATTATAAAAAACGTATCAGGTATTTTAGTCTTTAGCATTTTTGTTTTTAGTTTACCTCATTGATATCAACCAAATTATTTTTTAAAACCAGGCGTCTCCACTGAAACTCTTTTCAGTTTGAGTCACTTTGTCGAGAGAGTAAAGAGAGGCTCACCTGCGCGGTTTGACTGGTCGATCATGGGCTGGACTATTCTCCTCCTCGCATTAATAAACCTGGAGAGGATGGGGGGTGGAGGGGGTGAGGAGGGGGAGAGACAGAAAGAAAAGATAAGTTACATACAGACTTCAACTTTAGGAAATACAAAATACAAGATCATAAAAATGTCTTTTTAATCCAAGACATGGATAAAATTTTTTTTAAAAAACTGTTTTTGTTTAAGGTGCATGTTGTTGGCTAACCGTTAGCTTGGGGTTAGCCAAAAATATATATAAAATGGGTCAATAATGTCTTAATGATACAAAAAAAAACATTGCTTAATGAAAATATAGGTAAAAACGTGTTATGCTAACATTACTAGCGTTAGCCTAGTTTTTACTTTTTTTAACTTAAATTATAATAACATTTCATATCGACAAAGTTGTGGCTGCTCACTGACTAATATCACACACACACACACACTAACAGCCTCTTGCAAACACCACCCCCCCCGCTCGCCCCCCCATCCTGATCCAGGCACTGGCCTCTCTCAGCCTAACCTCTTGTGAACTGACCCCGTGACCTTTGATGACCCCAGGGAGAGAAGAGCTCTTTGGGCTCCTGACTTGATTTATGTTCCTGCTGCTGCACCACCGGACACTTCCATTTTCATCTCTAAAGACGGAGCATTAGCTAAACTTTAGGGGGAAACAATGGCTGCTGCTCCACTCCCAGAGCTGAGAAAAGGAGCGTTTAAGGAGGTCACGGGGGAGCAGGGGAGGACGGGCGGAGACAAAGAGAGCCTGTGGACTGACCACTCTGTGTGACGTTTAATGTGAAAATCTGATCAATTTAATTTTTGTGGATAAATTCTTATATTACAAACGTATTTATTTTAAAAAAAATTGTGGTAATTTAATGGTAAAAAATTCTAAGCTGAAATTAGATTATTTGTGGTATATATATACATTAAAAATAATTTTGTTGTCATACATATTTTACTTCAATAAATCATTAGCACATTGGCAAACTTTAGTTATTATATTGTCAATTTATAAGTGTTTTATGGCTAGTTGTTGCACATATTGTTACTTTTTTTTTTTTTAAAGAAACCTCAGATTAGTTTGTTGTCTTTAGCTTTGGCTAACTAATAGCTAGCCTCCACTGTGGCTATCTTCTAGCAGTGCGTGTGGATTGTGGTGAGGTTAGAGCTCAGTGTTCTCACAC